ATTTTGTTGATAATTATTATTATTTTGATTTTGCCAATTTCTTCTATAAAATATTTATTGATTTGAATCTTGTCTTGACTTTGAAGAGTTAAATTTAATATGTTCTCTTTCATTATAATTATAACAAGTAATTATTAAATTGTTATTTTGAGAATTTCAACTCAAATATTAATTATATGAACTATTTCTAGGTCAATTATATATTCCAGTAGTGGCTAGCTGTTGGGTGAGATTTTGAAGAGCTTTTAATATGACACTCATATCACTATTTGATGTTACTTAAAATTGATGATAATTTTTATTAAATATTTTATTCTTAGCTTTTTCTGCTCTTTTGTTATTTTAATAGTATTTGTAAAAGTTCTATCAGCATTTATCTTCATCCATTTCTTAAGTTCTGGCTTTAATTCACTCTGACTTTATTATCATTGTGAATGTGATTGTCTGGATTTGCTTTACGAAGCAGTTCATAGAATTTGTCAGTGTATTCATCAACAGTTTCCATTTGTTATAGTTCTTCTAATTCATCATTCCATTTATTCACCTTTTGATTAGTACGAAATTTAAGTATGAACTGATGTTTAAAGTCATATTTATTATGACCAATATTTTCCCAGCTATTTAAAATAAAAGTATTATTTCTGGCTCTCTCATCAAATTAAATAATAACAGAATCTTTCAAATATTCACAAACAATTTGAATTTTTTTTGCATTGGTTATTCCATTTGCTTTAGCAATAACTTTAAAATCTCTTAGCCAAGTAACTGGATTTTGATCTTCACCACAAAATTTCTTGATGAGTATGATAATTTTTTCAATTATTCTATTATTTTGAGCTATTAATATTGCTATAAGTTTATTAATAGCTACTAAAATATCACCAATTTCTATCATTTCTTGAAATAATTCTGAAAAGTAAAATTCAAATTCAAAGTCATAATTTGCAACAAAAACTTGTTGTTAGATTTCTTTTTATTGGTTATTTAATAATTTTATTGGTTTCTAAATAATTTTTATCAGAAGGATTTGAGACTTTTTTGAATTCTTAATTATAAATATAATTTGTTACAAGTTAAATAAGTTATAATTGTTCAAAAATTGTATTCTTGTTTTGATATAAGAGGATATTGATAAGTTTAATAATACTTCTATAAAGTTCTTCTGGTGGTAGTATTAAGTGAATATTTAAAATATCTTCAAATATAAGCTCAATAATGTGTGATTTAGAAATAGCATCAAAAGCTTAAATTCAGTTGACAAAATTATCTAATTTATTAAAAGTAGTATCAGAAGGGATAAAGCACAAATAACAATAATATTCAAGATTTATTTTTAGAAAAAGTTATCTTTTTTGTTTAAATTTGTGAACATGAAAATGATTTTTAGTTAATTATTCAATAAAAGTAAAAAAGATATTCATATAATAATAAAATTAAATAAATTAAGTAAAATAATATTGTAAAAGTAAGGAAAGAATATAATTCACAGAGAGAGCACCAAACTATTTTTATTAATTTAAGAATTGTTGAAATTAATAAATTAACAAAATAATATAATAATGAAAGAACAAAGACTGAATAAATTATAATTAATAAAGTTTACTAAAGATTCTAAAGATCTTCTGTGATAACTTGTATGCAAACTAACTAATTATTATCAATAAAGAATAGAAATAGATAGAAAGATAAAGTAAAAATGCAAAAAGAATTAAATAAATTAACAGATAGTTTCAAAGTGAATAACAGAACTTATTGATGATACCTAATAAAATAAAATAATAATTGAATTTATTAAAAGTATCAATTATAAAATATAAACAAAAATAACTAAAAATAATCAATAATAAAACTAAAATAATCAAAAGTAATAATATTAATAACTTATTTAGAGAGAAAGAGCATTCACTACTTGTAATTTCAAGATTTGAAGATAATTCATAAAAATAATAGTATATTTATAAGTAAAATATTATTAATAAAAACTTTGTTATTTATTAAGTAAAAGGATTAGAGCATGAGAGTTTCTAGTAACAAGAGACTCTTCTTTTATATATTTTTAATTTTTTATATAATTTATGTAATTAATAATTATTCTAAACTATATTATGATTTATAAATAATATTAACAATATAAAGGAATATAAATATCAAAAAATTACACAAATTCATTAACAAGAAAATACAAAAGAAAATTAGTTGTAATTCTAGTGATTAAAAATAAGAAAAAGCAAGAGTTTGAGTAAAAAGAAGTATTGTAAAAAAAGAAAACAATAGTACAAATATAATTATAAATAATTATAACAAAGAAATTAAGAAATAAAAAAAATAATTGTAACAAAAGTGAAAAATAAATATAAGAATAATTAGTTAAAAATAATAAAATAAAAGATAAAAAAGTGTAATAGAAGTATAAATAAGATAAACCAATAGTAAAAATATAAGTTTTATAGTGAAAAATACAAAAATAAATGAATTTAATATAATATAATAATAAAAGAAAATAAAACAAAAAGTATACAAAAATGTGATTATTATAATTTAGATATCAAAAAGATAATGATATATACTAAATATAATTGTAATACATCTTAATTTTTATTGATTAATAATTAAATAATTATAAAATTTTTGATAATAATGATAACAATACTCATCTTGGTTTTTGAGTTAAAGAATTAGAGACTTGAGATTGAGTTAAAATACTTATCTTAGTTTTTAGCAAATTATCTGTACTGGAAAAATTAGTGATATGTAATTCAGTTATATTAGGTTCAGAATTTTTTTTATTATTTTGTGAACTCGATTCACAAAGTTGGATTATATGTAACTCTATTTGAATGTTATAATCAAAGAGTATATTTATTACTTTGATATACTTGCATATATATGTAGTGTATATTAGTATGAAACTAAAATTGGCAATAGATATGTCAGGTTGTTTTGTCTTATAATATAATTTAAATTTCTATCAGATAATTATGTGACTTTCAATATATTATATCAATATAGAAATAATGGACTATTTTCAATAGAACACCGGTTCAGTACATAATATCTGTTATAATCATTAGTTTTACTTTATCTATTCTAATACTAACTCTAATTTTAGATGTAATTATAGTGATGTTATGATGGTATTATCTAGCCATGGTGAAAAAACAATCTAATTTTGAGCATGGCTTTGAATTCAGTAAGTTCACAACTTTTAAAAAAATTATATCTGAGAATATATATATAATTATGTCTGAGAATATATGTATATATTATGTTAAACCATTAGATAAACTTCCATGTTTTGCTATAGTTTTTAGAGGTTTTAACACAACTATTACAAACTATTTAAAAATGTGTAAGTTTATCCAAAGGTTTAACAAGTCAAATATGGATAGAACCTCCCTTTTTTTACTTGTGGTTGTTTGTAAATCACAACAAGCCTAAGCAGCGAAAAAGTTTCATATAAAAATGAGTATATTTGCAGTGATGCATTCATTAACCTTCAAAACCCATTGTTCAATGTTCCTTAGGATCGTGAACAATATCTTGTGTGCTCTCAAGATCGATTCCCTTATTTCTCTTGACAACTTGAGGGTTTTGGTAAGTTTCGTAAATATCTGGTGGTAACCTAAAGCAAAACCGAATTGGCAATTCGGCTCCTTTTGATACGACAGCATGTTTTTAACGATTTTAGCCATATTGCTTTGTAATTTTGGCTTACTGTGACTTGAAATGTTTTATAAAGTGTAATGAAGTAATCAGCAATGGGAAAGTTAGAAATTGTTAGTTCTCGTTCTTTGTTACAAACAAAGTAAGTTAGATTACTAGAACTCGTACTGTATATAATTGATCTTTGGTTTCACTGACAGCATCATTTTTTTCTCGTGTCTCTTCATTTCTATTTTTGGAATATTTTGCAAAATCAACTACCAGATCGCATCGAAGCTCTTCATTCACAATATTAATTTGAGACCTATCTGTATCGAATTCATTAGTAGTTGGTTGCTAAAAGATACATATACACTATTCTCAGCCATACATTGCAGAAACTTTTCTAGCTTTCACAGGTAGAAAGGGTTGGTACACTAGTGGGTTTTTTGTGAACCTCTAGAGGAATTCCGGGTTTCCTAGTAGTTTCCTAATAAATTTCTAATAATTCATTGAATTCAAGAGAAAATCATATAAGCCTCAACAAAACCACTAGGAAATCTGGAACGTTCACAAAAAACCACTAGTGTACTAACCCTTTCTACCTGTGTTTTTAAGCTTTTCTTGATACGACGAAAAATACCAGCCTTGATGTTCAGAAAATTTTTCTTTCCAAATGTATCTCAGCATTCCGCTCACTTGGGTGTATATCTTTGCCATTCAAATCCTTATTCAAATTTTCCTCGACAGGCTTCTAGTTAGTGTTGTCAACTGGACCATACTGGACATAGTCCAATACTGCGCCACTGGACCCTGGACTTAGTAATTTTATAAGTCCAATATGGTAACTTCTGGTTACTGAACATAGTAACGTGACAACGCTGCTTCTAGTTTATTTATATTCCAAGGAAGTATATAGAATATATTTAAAAGAACTTTGTCAAATTCTTGATATTGTTGGTCGTCATTCGAATTAGAGACGCTCATGAGGCTCTCGATAGAATGACCAATGTTTTTGCTTCAATCATCTTGACATTTTTGCAATCATTCGCACAAGTATTATATAACGGAATGTCGAAAGAATATTCTCCAGAGCGAATAGACAATGTCCCAGAAAAACAATAAAATGTGTCTCTATTTGCGGATTATCTTCGTAACTCTCGCTCAAAAGGCGGATGATTATAGATGAGGGTTAAATACTGTAATTAATTCAGACATCTATGTAAAGTGTAAATTATTTTTGGCAGCCGTAATTTATATATATTCTGATAGATGCCCAATTGTTTGTTCCTGATATACCAGTGAGAAAATGACATGATTAGAGTGTAAATAATGTCATAAAGTGCACTATTGACGTTTTAATAACTGGAAGTGATTTTTTTATCGGCTGATGAATAAAGTGCAAGTACGCCCAAACTGTCATCATTGTTCTTGAGGGAGCGAACAGTATCGAAAAGTGCAGTATCATTAGTGATCTTGATTTCATCACAAATGTTCACTAATTCTAAATTCGGATCAGTCAAATTTAATGCGTTTAGAAAGTCCTTCGGAGGCTAGCCATTTATCAATTAATACATCAGTAATGGAAATTTCAATGCAAGTATAAAAGAGTTTGTTGAGTGCTTGGGTGTTGTTAGAGATTACTGAATTAGTGTTAATTGTTTCGGAACTCGAGATTCTTGAAATGATAGCATTCCAAAAAAGAAAATTGAGAAAGAAATAAAACGAGCCACTATTAGTTCAAATGACATTTGTTTACTTTGGTTTTATTGAGATAATTTACTTTTTTTTAACTTAAACAAAGCACCCATTTTATATTCCTTATTTAAAACATAGAATTTTAGTGATATCCTTGATATCGAGCTGTGACGGATCGATAAAATCCATATCTTTATTATGTATGTTATCAATCCTTCTTTCATAATTGTTTGGTGGCTTGGTAGAGGTCATTTTCCATCTTAATTAAAGGAGATAAAAGCTCTGTGTGGTCATATTAAGTAAAAATATAATCAACAGGATACGTATAGAAATTGGTAAGAAAATGAAGTAAAGAAACAAACGTTCCCTAATATAAGCATTCTATGATAGTTTCTCTGGTTGTCCTTGAACAATTTTACTCCTAACTTCTTTAAATATGGTTACTTAAGAAATTCACCTTGTTGTTTTTCTCTCTTGCCACAAATTGTTCGCTGAGCACAAAAAATCGTTCATTTGTCAATATACGCTTCCTTCCTTCCATTTTTCTCATAAAACAAGTGAGGTGGAGTAGAGTTGAAAACGAAAAAGTTAGTTTGTTTTTTTTTTGAGAAAGGCATATTGAGTGTTTGCCTTGTGGGAAAGTTCATAATCTCTATCGCTTTCCCACATTCTTTTTAATATAGGTAAGTTTTAAAAATTTACACGCGTAATCCTTGTTGGAAATAAGGATAATGCATTTTTAAATATTGTATGTAGATGCGTGTGTAAAGTTAAACATTAACACAGAAATTGATTTACACACAAAAATGGAAGTTTTGTTCTTTTAACACAATACATAACGATAAATAAAATCATCATTATAGTATTATCGTTATCTTACTTGCTTTACCATAATTTCAAGCGTCTTATAAAATACAACACATTTATTATGACTATTAAGATGAGTTTTCATTCACAATCCTCATGATTGTAGTAAATGTACTCGTTGTCAAAAAAAATGAATATTACAAAGGATGTTTATCACAAACAAGATATCAACAGTCTAATAAACCTTTGAAAGAATTACTAATGTTGAATATCTTGCAAAAGGAGGTTTTGGAACAATTTACAAAGCATCGTTGCATAACTATGACAAGTGGGATCATGAAGAAAATGAATTTAAACTAGAAGTTGTGTTGAAATTGATTTACGTAATAACATTTAAAAAATCAATTTATTTGTCGCGGATTTGTGTAATTAATTGCTATATATGGCCTATATTTGGAAGTTGACATATATTACCGTATTTCGCGGGCTAAAGTACCTTCCCAACAATAATACCCTTCATGGCTTTTTAAAGCAGTTTTTTTTGTATAATACCCAGTATTTTAACAATATAAATAAACGGAAAATAAACTACGAGGGATGACCGTGAAATCTGTTCTACGACCAACGGTGTATCGTATTTCACGGGCTCAAGTGCCCGGCACAAGAAAATTAAAAAAGCGAATAATGTGAAAAATACGGAAAACGAATGGGTAAACCTGGCTTGAAATACTAATTAAAAATATCGGAAAGACAATTTTACATATAACCTTTACTCCACTCCTAACCCTAACCCTTATCCTGACCTTATAAAGCATTGACCGGTGATTGATCATGTGGATAACACGCTTTAACGCATCCCCGCATTGGGTCACGAATTAGAATATTGTATGGGGAAAGTTAAACTCGACAATCACGTGATTTGTGAGAAGTATGCGAACAATGCATGATCACGTGGCCTTCAAAAGTCCACGCTCACATGATCACGGAAAATTGACGTTAAAGGTTATTTTATTGTTTGGATTAGGGTTAGGGTTAGGGTTAGAGCTGAGGTTAAAATTGCTTTTCCGACATTTTTATAGTACTTCAAGCTAGATTTTGACATTTTTTTATTTTCTCGTGTCAAAGACCACGTGATTCAGCAGTGTCCCGAAGCACTGTTCGATTTTCTGGTGGTGATTTCAATGACACGTTTTTTGTAATCGACCAATAAAATAATAATGTGTAATGATGCAAAACAATTACATGATTTACATTATAATGATTCGGGTTGGCACTATAATAATTATCATAGTGCCGACCTGAATTATAATAAATGCCAACCAATAAATCATGTCACGGGATAAAATAATCACATGATGTGTTTCAATTTTAGGTTGAGCATATAAAAAACATCTAAATTTAAATGCTTATAACTTTTGATGTAGGACTAATTTGACTGGTCAGTTTTTAAAAATATTACTTTTTTAGGAAGTTGAAAGATTTTAAAGATATATCATTTAATTGTTGAGTTTAGAATAGATAGGAATTCTATATACTAGAGTTAGAGTTAGGGTTAGAGTTAATGTTGACCGAAAATGATCACGTGAATCTATAAAAGATACAAATATAACTGTCGGAAACACAAGAAGACTTTTCCATGCGTAAATTTACCTGTTATCATTATTGTTATATTTACAATTATTTATAAAATATAGAATTTGGATTTGAACATATGGCTAGTGCAAAATATTTGTGAATTAGAATTGAATTTGGATAGCAATTATACCTGTACCCCTCCCCACTACAGGGACCAAAATTTTGGAGGTTTTCACAATATAAACCCGCATTGTTTTATTAGGCATGTGCTTTGGTTTGAATTATAGCCTAATTCTTAAATACTGGCCAAAATCCAAAGTTTAAAGTTAGCCAAATAAATTTTTATGAAATAAAATTCAAAATTTTCTGTGTTTCTGACCCACCACCACTATCAGTATTACATTATATCGTATTGTGCTGAACAAATCGCTGTATTGGAATTATTAAAACTGGATTATAAGTATTTTACTTTTGTTATTTGAATTTTGAATTTTTAATTGTTAACGAATATTCCTCACTCGTGAAAAGAACAAAGTGAAAGAGTCTTTGTTATTGTTACAAAAGTTTACTATACTAATTTTTATGATCTATAAGAATCTAGAAAGGAGTGAAAAGTCATTTTGATTCACGATTTCAGGAGAATTTATACGAATTAAAACTAATAACCTAAATCGAAGTCAGCCTGTTCACTTTTGGTGTTGTATTCATCGAATGATTCCAGGGTTCATAGCATCGGAGCCGAAGTGTTGTCGGGTATCACGTCGTATTGAGTATTAGTAGTATTAAGCAACACCGTAATATTAGTCATAGTATTAGGCATCATCGGACCCAAAGTGTTGTCGGGAATCACGCCGTATTGAGTATTAGTAGTATTAGGCATCATCGGACCCGAATTGTTGTCGGGAATCACGTCGTATTGAGTATTAGTAGTATTAGGCAACACCGTAATATTAGTCATAGGATTAGGCATCATCGAACCCAAAGTGTTGTCAGGAATCACGCCATATTGAGTATTAGTAGTATTAGACAACACCGTAATATTAGTCATATGGTTCGCAATATTAGTCATATAGTCAAACGAAGAATTTGGGGTGTTGTCGGGAATCACATATTGAGTATTAGTCGTAGTATTAGGCAATACCGCAATATTAGTCATAGGATTAAGCATCATCGGATCTGAAGTGTTGTCGGGAATCACGCCGTATTGAGTATTAGTCGTAGTATTAGGCAATACCGCTATATTAGTCATAGGATTAGGCATCATCGGACCCAAAGTGTTGTCGGGAATCACGCCGTATTGAGTATTAGTAGTATTAGGCAACACCGTAATATTAGTCATATGGTTCGCAACATTAGTCATATAGTCAAGCGAAGAATTTGGGGTGTTGTCGGGGATCACGTATTGAGTATTAGTCGTAGTATTAGGCAATACCGCAATATTAGTCATAGGATTAAGCATCATCGAACCCAAAGTGTTGTCGGGAATCACGCCGTATTGATTATTAGTTGTAGTATTAGGGATTATGCCATATCGAGTCTTATGAAGTTCTTTTGCTTCTTTAGCTAATTGCTTATATTTGTTTCTCACTAATTGTGGCTCATCATTCCATAATATTTTTATAATAATCGAAGCATCTGGCATAGGAATAGAAAGTCGATTAACCATCATTTTTTGGATGCAAGATTTTCGATAAATAAAAAATGCGTTGCAAGTCTTTGTTGGAACATTTCCTCTACGTGTAGTATTAGGAACGAGTTCGCTTGCAGAAATAATTGGCGGGAAAGATGGCCTAATTAATGTTGATGGTATTATTTGAATATTATCAGACATACTAAAAGAATTCAGTATTCTATTATTTATAAAACTTCTGAACGAGAAGAACGAGTATATTTATACAAATTGCTAATTTGATATTACGAAACTTGAATGTATTGTAGTAAAAAATTTGAATGTATGCATACATACATTGTAGCATTTGTGCATCATGAATATGTCGATGAACTATCATCTGATGACTTTCGCTCTCTTTTAAGCGATTATGTATCTCAAGAATTTGAGATTGATGACCCTCAATAACCTGCTTTTGACTTCTAATTTCTTTTTGCCATGTAACAATAATAAACTACTTAAAGACTTTTGAGTATCTTCTGCTAACAGTCCCGATCATAATTAACCGACCCCTGATAACTTGACATCCAGTGATCCGATTCAAACAAAAATATTATTATTCGATTCGTCTAGTCGAGACAAATCTAACAGTAGTATTTTTGTTTGAACCGGATTACTGGATGTCGAAATATTGCATCCTAAAGTAGCATATTCATTTTTTTGACATTAACAAAAATGAATCGGTCAATTTAGAACGTGATATCTCGATCTCCAGTGCTCCGATTCGAACAAAAAACCATACCATTCG